TAGTTCACCTGGGTTCTGACAGTTCTCACCTGGGTTTCTTTTTCTGCGATGATATGCCTGATAATATTGTGCAGGCTCGTGAAGCCCCAAACCCCTATTGATGTAACGAGCCTCACTTGCTCCGTCTTTAAAAGCCACTTGGCCGGTTGATGACTGTCCGTTACGGATGGTATGAAACTCATACTCTAAGTTTACATTAGAGCTGACCATCTTTTCTCGAGGATATGGCTGGCACATGAACTGCAGGATAATTTGTGATTCCACCATATCATCAGTCTCTGGGCCAGTTCCATGTTGATTGGTCCACATAACTTCTATTTCAGTTTTCGCTTTGTCTGAGCATCCACTCATGTAGAATTCCTGATATAATAAAATAATGATCAGTCTTGGTTCCATGTTACAGGCCAGTGAGTTAGTCAAATTTGTACGTCATTCACATAATGCCAATACTATGTGAGTAATACAATAAGCCATTCCAACAATCTGACAGTCAGTCACTGAGTCAGTCACAACAACAGTCAGATCAGTCTTTCAGTGCGCCGGTCAGTTTTGTTCTAATCTAGTCAGAAACTTACTTCGTACATTGTAATTGTAATAATAATATGCATTAATTTACTTATATAACATAGTAGTTATTACATTTGGCTGTTGTCGGATTTCAGGAATGTTTTCTCCAGGGTTATTATGCTGTTTGTCTCCAACATTGTAGCCAGCTTTGCCATTATTCTAAGGAAAAAAATCAAAGGTAAAATTTTCTGAAATGATCAAAAATGCTTCATTACCTTCAAAACGTTGTAACTCTACTAACACAGTGTACTCTTTGAGTCACGTAATAAACGCAAAAATCTAACAAGAAAATAGAATGACTGGTGTCAACACGAAGAAAACATTATAGAGACAAGTATTCTTCAGCCGATAAACTGTACGGAAAAAATAAATGGATGGGGATTTTTGGCGTGTATGTAGAGTCAATAATGAGGGCAAATCTCGAAGAAGCTTCATTATCTGATGTATACCGGAGGTAACCTCTTCGAATTTTAGAATTAAAAACACTTTTTCCCCCAAAAGCACTGTTATTACGAATGTATTTCAAAACTACGGATGGAAAGTTTTTAACGATATCGTTTCTGCAAGGCTGGTACGATTCTGGATCCCTCCGGCTAGGTTCTGAGAAAGTTATCTCCTCTTCTCTGTAATCTTATTACTGACTGGGTTTCCCTTTTCAAATATTCCAAGAAGAGAGCGGGGAGGATTTGAAAGTCTTGAAACAAATCGAAGGAGGCGGGATTGTCTATAACCGCCCATAGGCACAATAAGTATAAGGATAACAAACAGTTCATCATCATTAAGATTGTCTTACCTGAGAATCAAACAACCTATTTGCGTTCCTGACATTGGCTTGGTTACCATTCAATCGATTGTTGGATCCATGTGGTACATGGAGGTATACGTCAGACATGGAAGGCTCCAGAAGTACAGCCACGATACAGCCCCAAATCAAACAGTACTTCATGGTCTGTAGAGCACATACAATATCGGACTGAGAGGTTTTGGAATTGTCTCATAGAAGATAACAACGCTTACACTAAAATTAAAGCTGGAATTTCCTCAAATCAAAGAAACAAATTCTAAGTGAGAAGGCAGTTTAGCCACACAGCCTGATAGCACACACTAGTAGAAACCTTCGAGCCTGGTAACCACCTAACCCTTCAATTCCCAGGAATGAATGACTAACTTGTAAGTTTTTCTTTCAATATCAGCACACTTCTGTTTGATGCGTTATCAGGGGGTATCACCCGTTGTTAATTTAGTAGCAAAGAGGAAGATTGACCAGTCAATGAATTTTATTTTGCAACAGCAAGCGCGTGCATAAAGACGGCTTTTCGGTTCAGTTGTGGTGATTATCATGAATGGCTAATGTAACTCCTTCTTCATGAACTCTGAATACACCACTTATAGCTATGATGGTAGCAGACATTACCTCAGGCCAATCATTTCAGTGAAAAGATTTATTTTCAGTATAGATTTTATTAGAGCTTTCTGCCTTTTTCATCTTGCTTGCCTAACTGCAGAATGTTTGTTTGGCCACTGAAGCATACGTGTACGTACATGAAAAGCATTCCTATTGACCGCAGAATTTTAAAGGCCAAGTTTTCTGCACGAACGAGATTGTTCAAGGAAAAAAGTACAGAATGCACATTCATGCATAGAACGATGAAACCTTTCTCTTTAAGGGCGTTATCAATAAATCAGAATGGAAATTAGCCCCCCTCCCCCCCACCAGGGAAAGTTGTTCGCTTAGAACATGGAAATTTTTAATTACTCCCCAAATGTATTTTCTACCTACGTAGTCAATTCTTGATTACTAAAGGGGCTTTTAACTACAACATCCGTAAAGTCGATAGATGGAACTCAATACTTCCAGAATTCTTACTAAAAGATCTCCACCAACGAGTACTACTCTGTCACAAATGTTCAAATCGTCATGTGAAAGGGTGAAAGAACCGAGGATTGTAGCACGCGCACTCAGCCCAGCTTAATTTCGATGGGACGCAATACTTTAGCACAATTTATAGCTCAGTTTCGGATTTAAAAGTGAGAGCCCACTTTAATTTTATAAAAGGGCGATCAAGTAGGGTAAGCTGTTACTAAGTGAGCTTACTAACCTTGGTTTGGCAGATCGGGAAGTTAAAACGTCTCTGCGTGATTAGTGCGTTGAAATCCGCACTGGTTGAGCTGCAGTGAAGTTGTGACGAGTAAAGGCGTGCGCCTTGATTTATGCAAAATTGAATAAATGGACATAAAAGCGGGACAATAGCGGGTCAAGGACGCCTGACTTTGGTCACCAAATACCATTAGCTCACTGAAGCTTCAAGTTAGCAGTTTGTTTGTCGGAATATTCGTAACATTTTGTATTGAGGTAACGTCGATGTTTACTCCCTTCTCTGCGTACTAACTCGGTTATTTAGTTATGAACGTTTTTTTGAGGATGAAAGTATGGGGGAAAAAATAGAATTAAAAGAGGGTTCCTTGTCATGATATAATTATTTACATATCCTTTAACAATGAATATCTCCGCTTAACTGCATGAAGTCTTGAAGCTATGTTTACTTCGGGCCTATATTGATACAAAGAAGCTGTTGATGCTTCAGACAATTTAAGTGCAGAAAAAGACTTTCGTGTTAGCAAATGCAAATCTACCCATTTAAAGCTTTAAATGATGACAAATTTTCTTTACTCTTTCCGTCTAATTACATCTTACTCCACCAACATCCAATACTATTGTTAGCCGATTGTCAAAGTTGCGTGACGACCTTGGGTCATTTCTTGATTTTTTCGGTAAAAAGAATTCTCGCGAATCTTGTCTTTTGTCTGTCTCTATTTTGTGTGATTATCTGCATACTTCAACGGATATAGTTTCATAGATGTTTGCTTAATCGGAAAATATCGAGAGAAAGCAAGACACACTCAACCTTTTGTTATATCAAAACAACTTACATTAAGAGGGCGTGAAATTAAGGATTTTTCCTAATATCATTGCATCGCAGAGGATTCTTGATTATAATCACGCAGCTGAAGGCCATAACGGTACATTTGAGAACCTTGGCAAGTGATATAGCGACATTCTTGCATTTATGTGGATGAGTATAACAGCAATAACTAAGTTATCCTCTCGTCTGAGCAAAAGAATTTCCCCCTAGGGATACTTACCTCAAGTAGCGGGAGCTCTTTTAACGTTTGACGCGCTTCAGTAGCAATCCCGCAAAATTTTAAGTGTTGGTTAATTTTTCAACATTTTTAATGAAATTCTCCTCCTTTCTGGTCGCGAGGATCCTAAAACTGAAGTAGAAAGTTAAATTTGTTTTAAAGAGTGTGTCCTGTTTGAGAGAACAGATTCTTTGATACATTCACCACTATGATCCATGAACTTGTGAAAAAGCGACATGGCCAATGAACCTTGAAATAAGTTTGTTTATATGAGAGAGGCTGTAGCATCTTTTCATTGGGGACTTCATAATTTGTTTCTGTTGCGATGAACCCTATGAATTAAGAATACAGGTTAATGTAGGAAAAGACCGTCAGGGTTTTCACCACGAAAAAGTTTCGGCGAATAACTCTCTTCTTTAGAAAATTACGAGTGTTCTTTCCTGTTCACTCTGCCACTTAACGCCCTCCCTTTGTTTTCCACGCCTTCTTCTTAATCAGTTAATGCTGCGCATCCAAACGGAGCATTTCTTAGTTAATTCATCACATTAGGATTTTGTTGTCTTGCATATTCTCTTTTGCGCTGTTTCCTTTTCTTTCCTACTTCTATCGTTCTCGCTGCAGAGCTTTTGACTGAAATACTCAGTAGTAAGTTGTTAAAAGATAAAAGTATGATATTTTGTGTCGCGAACCAGAATCGTGACCCATTTTTCTTGTTAGCTATGCATGAGCTGGTACAAAAGTCAATTCAATATCGTAACAATTGTGTAGTCATAAAAGATATTGCACCATATCTACCCTGTCCACCGTCTCCTTTTACTCAAAGCACACGCTTCAGAAATTTAGCTAAATGCATCAAACAAAGAACGGCTGCTTCGCGAACCTCTCCACATCTTCCCGATACATTCCACCTATTGACGGAGTTTAATGAGCGTTTTACCAGAGTTTAAGTTCTACCAGTGATTTTAACTGTTTTTGGATGTTTTCTACATTTAT